AAGATTTATTATATCTCATTGGATTTCTTTTCTCAATATTTAACACCATTCCAGCGCCATAATTCTCGTTTTGTATGATTAAATAAATATTCTGATTTAGATTTCTTTATTTTGAACAATTGCTCTTATTGCACAAAATTGTGGAAGTTTGCACGACAACATTACAATAACAGTTGACTTACCGGAATGTTCATACTTGTGTCTCGTGAGGGAACTGTGTTTGGAAAATGTTTTCTCACACCGATCACAGAAATAAAGACCCTGCTCATTTTCCGTTGCTGTAGGGGTTATTTCCGATTGTGGTGCAGCTTCGTTCTCGCTCTTCGCGTTCGCTTGACTTTGGTTCTAAAAGATACACAAATTATATATCGTTTACAGACTTTCAAACGCATTGATTTTATTTTCTATTATTACCTTTGTGATTACCTCTCCACTGGAGGGTGTATGCTTAGCTTCAAGATCAGTAGCGGTCTCTTCGTCTATAACTAATGGCGAATCGTCGAGGTCATCATTATCGGCAGTTGGAGCTGCATTATCATCCTTTTGTTCACAAGGAGACGAAGTATTTCTACTTGATGTATCACTTTCTTTAATTGTCGATATAACAAGAGCTTCTTTCTTCGATAAATCTAAAGGCTGCTCGATAATAGTCGGATTCCCGGGGGGTGCTAAAGGTACTAGAGCTGGTGGCATTTTTGATTCTCTTCGATCCCTAGCACGAGAATTTTGGAACCAAACCTATAAATTAAATAATTTATTACATTTATTATAACTATAAAAGTTTAATTTAAATCTTTTCTCTTAAAATTTACCCTAAAAATCATAATAGTTATAGAACATAATACAATATTAACACATTTCAAAGAATTGTATGTGATTTCCTTTTTTTATTAATTTATTAATGTCTATTATAAAATATAAAATGTAAAATATAAAATATATTTGAAATTTTACTAACTATTTAATAAAAATTTCAAGAACTTTAAAATATATGAAAGTAGTTTATGACTTTTCATTATTTTAAATAATGTCAAATTATGACACACACACACACACACACACACACACACACACACACATATATATATTTTTTTTTTTTTTTTTTCATGACGACCAGTATATAAGATAAGAAAAGGGAGGCTTAGCGAAAACATTAGCGTGCAGGGAACGGAAAAAGCGGCGTTTTCGCGTAATCGCGCAGGAAATGAGCAAAGTCGGGCAGGACAAATTTCGCAGGGACGAATTAGCGCATCCTGCTGCTGAGTCTCTCGGAACGCTCTCCCTCGATGCTTCTGTTATCCCGAAGGAGATCCCCACTTGTCTGTGAACCTACGGGGGGTCCTTTCCTTCAGGATTAAATGGAGCGCCTAGATGACCGATGCTCCGTCCTCCGGCGGAGTGGTGGAGTGCGCGGACTGCGATACGAGGGTTGGAGAACGGGGACAGGGGGGTTGGGTGGAAAACAAGATAAAACAAGGATAAGGCTCGCTCTCAGATCCCCTCTTCCAACGACGCTCGGACGCATCTTCCGATCCCGTCAGAAGGAGACCCTCGATAATCTGGAGGTGTCTAATCGTCTATATCGCTTGATTTAAACCGCCGCGTTTGTCTGCCATCCGAGTTAGTCCCTTTGTCCCCTTTTATCACGGAAAGTTTTCAAGTGTATGCTTCCGTGTGTACTCCAATTCCATTCGTGTATAAAAGAAGAGGCATTAATTCGCTCCGTGATTCTTCAAATTCTCCGACTAAAAATTAGCTCTTGCATCCATTCGCGAGATAATTCGAGAAACGAATTTTAAAGATAGGAAAATCGAAGCTCGTTAGTTGCGGCTGACACACTTTGTTGTGCGTTGCCGCCGAATTCGGCGATTCGCAAAGTAGAAGCGAAACATCTCACGTTTAATTAACGAATTCGTTGACGATATCGCGGAGGTATTTCATTTGCGAACGCGTCGCAAGAGACAATCTCTCTCTCTCGATTTTCCGCGTCGCAGGGTGACAATCGCATTTTGCGGATTTCGGAAGAGAGACGCGTAATGCCCTAGCTGTTGCCGACTCGGTGTCATCCCGTAAGAGGATTAGATCTCGACTTTGTTGTGGCTCTCGAAGACGTTCGTTAGTGAAATCATTATTACGGTCGATCTTCCTCGGCTACCGCGACGTTGATGCTGCAACGTCGAAGGCGTCTATACCAAGGCACGTTTAAGAGAATCCTTGATTTTAGCCGCCAATTATCAGTGAATTGATCCTTAAAACATCCAAGCTAAAGATGAGAAGATACATTTTACTTATTATCTTTGTATAATGGCTGTGTCGTTTAATTATACATAGTGTACTGTATAATTGTTACAACTAGCTTATTAGCTGCTATATAAAATATATTCTCTTCATTGCCGTTCATTGTGAAATTTAATTAATTTAATAATACATTTTTTGTTTAATATTAATTTAATAATACGGTTGGCAAAACGGAGAAAATTATTATTTACTTACTAGGGCGAACAGTTCTTCTTTCCTCTCTCCCGGAAACTCCGAAGAATTCGAAACATATTTCGGGAAGGGTGAACGGTTCTCGTCGTCGAGTCACGACGGTTAGGGGAACATCAATCTTTCATTCACGGGGTGACTTGGGAGTTATGAATGAAAGTTGTTCAGCCCTTTTAATATAATAGCGAACCCGATGTCTTTTCGCTTAACGCGCTTTCGATTTTGATCGAAGAGCGATTTTCCTCTGACATTTGATGCGTTCCTCGATCTTGGCTTTGAATAATTCAATACGTTTACACTTATCGCAAAAAATTTTATTTTTCAAGAGAAAATTTTTTAGAAATTTTTTTTTAAGAATTGGTTATAATTAAACAGACACATAAACATGATTTAGTCGTAATGAAAATTCCGAAGGGAATTCAAATCCCTTGACGACGATCCGTAGTATCAATATCTCGTTTCGAATTAACGCCCAAACAGTTAGTAGCACTTCTATTTCGTTTCAGGATTCTTCTTTGTCCGGTCGCTCTAACTATTCGCATTAAATGACCTCGTCCTATCGATTCAGCTGCTTATTTCAACGTATTTAATCACAGTGTGATTGCTTTTCTTGATAGATGATCATCAATTGTCCAAAGCGTGATTGGTAGGATACTTTTGTTCAGCCTATCAACGTCCGAAGGAAAAGAGACTTGGACATTTCAATCAAATATATCTATATAGTATTTTTATTAAAATAACATTGAAAAAATAAATATAAGATATTATATAAAAAAATGTTATAATATCTTGTATTATTTTTTTCAATATTATTTTAATAAACATTTCTTTTGATAAAAGTATTTAATTACTGTTTACAGTATTAATGTTTCATAACGACGATAATTATATTTGTTGTTCATGTTTACACTTTGGAGATGTGTTTGCGGTGCGATTGTATGTATCTATCGCTTGCCAAAAGTTTTACGTCGCAGATCCGAAAGTTTTTGGCGCGGACTGTTTAACCGGGTCTAAATAAAATGCGAAAGAATCCAACTCTCTTTGTCGGAACTCCCGAAACTTCTTCCGTCGATATCGCGCAAGTTTCTCCGCTCCGTTTCGACGCTCGTTTATGGTTTGATTGCTCTTCGATGGCACTTTAGGGAAATACACTAGACCTGCATCGATCTTTAGTCTTACAGACACCACACCGCAGACTTTCGTGTATTATTTGCCAATAAAATCAACTTGCTTGACTCTTCGAAACGTTCATGAGAGAGCTTGAAATGTAGCTTCATGAGGATGTTCTTTTCGTACGAAAGCACAATACTCTTACAAGAAGTTAAATATATAATATATATAAATGTAATCGGCCTTGCCTTGAATTCTGCGAGTTGCTCATCTCGGGGACCTCTTGACTGGAAAAGTGTTCTCGATATATAGACACTGTTTCTGTAGTATGTCGGAAGAGATTTGCATTCGCGACTCTCTGCGAATCTCTCATTAGCTTAAGCTTCTCGTATTTCCGATTAAATCCGATAGCAAACGATCCTATCGCACGGATATCCCCGCGCCGGCGGGTAATTAGGAATTCGACGGGAGGACCTTCGAATTCATTTGGCGTGCCGGGCGTCCTTCCCGTCCTATCCTTCGTTACCGTTGCGGGAAATTAGTTCGCCGCTGCGTGAACGGGGACGTTCGTCGTTTTCAATTCGCCCCGCTTGCACGCGGTGACGGGCGACGATCAACGATCAACATTTATTCTTTCTTCTCGTTTACGAAATCTTCTCCGTCACCGAGACGAGAAAGTATATCGAACGAGACGCTCCGCGTTAATCTCCTCGACTCGTTAATGGGCAAACAGCTTCTTACGGCTCTTCTCTTATTGGCTCCTACGAGCCGGTAATTAGCGGTACGCGGGGTGGACGCGAATTCGCATTCAGCCGGGGTCACGATTCCACCCCTCGCGTTTCCCACCGCCGGAAAACTGTCTGAACATGACGTAACGCTCGGATACGAGCTTTGGCTCCGGACCGGCCGAAGCGCTTTTTGTGCTGTCCGGCCAGCAACAATGGCCGCTTCTTACACCGTCCTGGTCACCGTATATTATTAATTACTGTATTAATCTCACCGGCCGTAAGCAATCTATTATACATGGGATAAGAGCCACCACCGACCATCGGCCGCGCCACCCACCCGTCCGACGCGCACCCTCTAACTCGACTTTCTAACTGCCGTCCCGGTGCTCTCTCGATGAGGGCTCGACGAGGGCAACGAAATCTGAAATCCCCCCGGGGGTGTTAATAGTGACGTCGCGTCGGGTTTAAGTTCCTGTATTGTTACAAAGATCGGGATAATACTTTCTCGCGACATTAGAGAAATGATAATTCGATATGGACTCGTACGTAGTAGTCTTTTGTAAAAGAGATTATATTTTGTTTATTATTGGATTGGATTGTTTATTATTGAGGTTGCGGTATTTTTAGGAATAAATTTTATGTTAATCTTATTCCTAAATCTTGTTAAATATTAAAAAAGAGAAGAATTATTAAAATTTATATAAGGAGAAATGTAAAAGTATATAGAAAATATTATATGACATTTTAAAGAAATAGTAGATATTTTTGAAAATATCATTTTTGCACACACGTCAATCAAACGTCATAAAGTATTTCCTATTGTTTTAGGACCTTGCACGGCTTGCATGTTAGCAAAGGTTGAACAGGAACGTCTGGAAAGTTTGAAATACGATAGGGCGACAATCTACGTCAAATGTATTGATGAAAACGAGGAATCTAAAACCAATAACGATTACGAGGTAAAATATTCTTTCAATTGATTATTTATTTAATAAATTCCGATACGACTAAAGATTATTAACATAAGATTAGATAATGAATAAGACGAGTCAAACGTTCGGCATATATTATGCCGATAAATTTATTTGTCGCTTTGGTATCAGTTTTATTACATAAAATTTTTATGAGATAATACGAATTATATCGCGATTTATCATTGGTAAAATAGTAATGCTCCTGATTTTTTTTTTTTTGAGAGAAATTGAAAGTTTTATATCGTGTGTCTATGCATGAACGAGTTATACTGGCTCGTTCGGGCGAACGACAAGGAAATTTTGTTAATGGGCCGACGTGCCGAGTCATCGAGTGTCCTGGAAGCGGTCGTCTTTCCAGATTAATACCAACTGATAACGACGAGTTGATGCCATCTCACGCATTTCACGATATAATAAGTATTATTACGTCTCTTCTCAAAGTGACTTTAAGAGATATGTACTTCCTTTTACGTAGCTCGCTTTTGATTCATGTTGATTTAGAAATAATTGTGGAGAACCACGTCTTTATGTCACTAACTAAATTATATTTGTTACTTTCTTTTATGTTAAATACTTTTTATATTCGATTTATTCATGTTTACTAGGAAATGTATATATCAAAAGTGGGAAACGCATCGTTAAAGTTGAATAAACGAAAAGTTTTTATTTCCATAAATATATCTTTAAGAGAAATAAATATTAAGAGATAAATATATCTTTATAGAGAAATATTTTTATCTTATTCATTTAGTTAGACGCTTTTTTTTTATTTATCGAATATTTCCAACGTTTGTCACAGGTAGCATCAAAAAAGCCGAAAATGGAGAAGTCTCGGCCATCACGAAGTAGGAGAAAATTAAAAGGATCTCACGAGCTCAAAGTATCTTCTGAAATTACGTTGAAAGAACTCAAAGTAATGGTAAGTGTGTTATTTTGTTAACATATTTACAAAGTTACAATTTGTTCCGTAAATATGATAAAATATCTTATGTTTTGGATAAATTTCAAACTTCTTTTATCTGTAGAAAATTATATTCGATTTAAATCTAAAAATTGAATGAAAAAGTTTGGAAAAATTGTTGGCGAAATGTAAATGTAGAAAAATACGAAAATCATTAGGAGCAACATGACGGCAAACTACTTGTTTAGTGAGACGGCTTCGAGAAAGATATCGGGAAAAATCAGTCCGATATCTTGTGATCTGTTTGCGCTCGCCACCTGCCGAAAGCGGGATAATCAATCAATTTGCGGCGCAAGTATTTTACGGGCGAGCTCTTATTGTTGAAACGGGAATGGGAAATGGGAAGAACCACGTCTGCTCGGAGCCGATCGGCCCGCCAACCCTCGGCTCGGCCATCTCCGGTCCGGTTGTGACCGTTCTCCGACTCGTGGTGAACGAAAGAGTAGTAAAGCGTAGTTATGGCTGGTTAGCATATGCTCGGGCTCCGGCAGTGTGCTTAAACTATTAAGCGTATTTATATTGCGAGGCCGTAGCCATCTCCTCCCCCTCCTCCCCCTTCTTTCCGGCGGAGCCACTGGCAAAAACCCGAAAGAGCATAAACCTCGCGCTAATAACAGGTCTCCAACTTCTCCACTCCACTTCACTCCACTTCGCTCCACTCAACCTTCCATTTGACTCTTTCTCCCGGCTCGGTCTCTCTTCATCTCGCGCACTTTTCTCTCTCTTTCTCTCTCTCCGTTACGCGCGCGATCCTCCTCTCTATCTATTCACCCAGCTCTCCTTCGGGCTCGAATTTTTGTTCGTGCCTCTTTCACCCCGTGGAACGCGCGTCCCCTTTTAATACCCGCCCGCGAGAGAGACTGTCGGCGTCAATGGAAATACGAAACCCCATCTCTTCTTCTCATTCACTGTCTCTTCTTCTTTCTTTTTTTTTTTTCTTCTTTTTTTCTTACAGCCCACATGTCTTTCGGCTTGATTTCGTCTCTCGCTTGACGAAAAAGTCAACGATCAAAATAGATCGCTCGATCGGCCAAGATTGCGCCTTAATTACCGTAATCTGCAAGAACGAAATCTTGTCAAAAATATTAGAAAAAAAAAAAAAATAGATATACTTTGAAAGCGAACGAAGCGTTTTTGTCTCATTGGAAAATCCCGCGGCGTCACGATTCAAGGGTGTCACTGTTCGCGAATCGGTTCTCGCGTTTGACAAAAATGCGGGCGAGTCACGCCGCGCATTCGCATTGCCTTTTTTTTTTTTGCCGTCGTGCAAAAAGGGTCGCCAATAAAAATGTTTGAGTTTCATGGTCGAATGCAGTTACGTCGCGGAGCTAGCGGGCAAGCAAATCGGCACCAATAGCAGCCGCCGCTGATCTTCGCCGGTGCGCGGATAGTTTTACGTAATCGCGGTGTAACGCCTATGAAGCGGCCGCCTGTAAATATTACTTTCCAGCACATTCCGTGTCACCAGTCCCATTTTTTTCTCCGCGCCGCTCGGTACCGCTCGATCGCCTTTCTTACTCTCATTGCGGCACGGACGCAATGGCATCGGAACGAAAAAATGTTCGTCCACGCGGATAGTAGCGTTCACGGGGAAATTACGGCTGACAAAAACACGGACAAACGGCCACGCCGGATTTTTCATGGATAGATTGGAAAGTAAATCGTAGAAACTATCGAGGAGAGAGAGAGAGAGAGAGAGAGAGAGAGAGAGAGAGAGAGGAGAAAGAAAAATTCTTCAGTTCTAGAAAGCTCGCGTTATCAATCGCGGATATTGAGATTACATCCGTGAGCTAATACATCCGTCATGATTTCGGGTGCGACACGCGGCTGTTAGGATCCGTAAATATCAAAAGTTCCTCAACCTCAGGGCAATTCGGCCTCCTGCCGCTGCCTCGCAACCTTGTTAAACCCACCTCTATTTATCGCGCTCGTTGGGCGCCTTCCTTTAACGAGGAAGCCTCGAGGTTCTTTGACCCTGGCCACCTCTTCTTCTTGCTCCTCTCGTTTCTGTCATTCTTCTCTCCCCCTTGTACGAAGTCCAATAAACACGATATATGAGAATTATTCTGACGTAATGCAAATTACCGATCTCGGGCAAGATCTGATAGTGACAATCCACGATCTATACCTGTGTCTATGTTATTTTTTAAGGGAATAATTGGACGAAAGAGTAATTGTTGTATGTTGATGGAACGCGAGTTCCAATTGCGCGTACGCTCATAATCATCATCTTTTTTTATACGACCCAGCGATCAGCCCCTTAGTCACTTTCCGGCGCCCTCGCGATGCCTCTTCTCTCCTTCCTTCTGCCGGGCTTCTTCCTTGGCACAGCTCGGTTCAGTTCAACTCCGACGATCGTAAAACAGAAAGCGAGCTACACGATTCTCGCACGCCTCGGACGCCGAGGACAAGCCAGCGGCGCAAGTTATCCCTCCACGCAACATTACGCGGGTTTTACAAATTAAGCAATTACCAGGGCTCACGCTCGTCTCGCGCACTCTTCCACTTCTAGAATCTCAAATAGCTCCCTCTCCCCCCCTCCCCTCTCTCCTCCCTCTTCGTTTTTCCGCAAGGCTGCAAACTTCGTTCTGCGAGTAGCTTCAGTGTTCACCTATTGAAATACATTTCAGATGTCTACGAATCCCAAAGTCGTCAGAAACAAAAGCGTACATATGTACATATGTTGTTTCTTGACTTAAATAATTAGGTTGTATCTATTTTTTGGAAAAATCTTTATGATTGACGTAACAAGACATAAGAGGAAATTTAAAATGTCTAAATATCTCTGTTTGGAACTGGGACACGAGATTAAAATAATACGAAAGTTCTAATTTTGTACTCGAAAGTTTTTAATTATGGAGTTGTTTATTTTTATTGAGGAATTGATGAGATTATTTTTTTATTGAATTATAATTCGATTTGATTGCATCGATAGATAAGATAGGAAAATTCTGGTTCTTTTTAGACGATGCAAATATGTGGCGCTGGGCCATACGATCAACATATAATGTTGGGCGAACGCGAACTTACCGATGATAATCTGAGCTTGGCGGCACTTGGAATATTTCCTGGAGCTCTACTTACGTTAAAGGTAAGTTTCGATTTTGCATGAAAAAAAAATAGTTTTGCTAAAATACGTTAAAATTTAGCCAGATACTGAAAATAATTTTGTTGGACCATTAAAATAATAATTTTTATATTTATATTTGGGAAAATTTTTAAATACCCTAACAAAACTAGCCTTTCAGTCTATTTTTTCACTTATGTTATTAAAAAAAATTAAACAAAAATTAATGGAAAACATAAGAATTAACGATGCGTGACAAAATGTTCACTACGAAATAGAAGAAACTAAATTGCAAATTTCCGAAAATTTCACTAACAGGAGTCTCCTCTTTTATAGAATTATTTATGTAATTATAAAAAAATTCAGCGCGCATGTGTAAAGTTCACATTATTATAAATCTACTCTCACACGCGATGACATGCATGGATGCGGAAACAAATTTATATAAAAGTACTTGAGATTCTACGTTTTGTCGTTTAATGTTTTACGATTCATCCGGCTCCATGCTTCGCAGCGACGTCTTGATTGTCGTTACAACGATACGTTTCTTCCGCCTGAGTAGCAGACAGTGACAAACAGATGCAATTTAGATTTAAGATCTAGCCACTGTTTCCCTTAAGTTTGAGACAATGGATAAGTAACCGGGACCGGCAATGGCTCCGCAGATAACGCCGAGACCGGCGTTTTCGCGCCCGGGATTAACCGAAAATGCCTTATTTGAGATTAGAAGTGTTAATTGCAGCCTCCTAACCTTGGGAGAGTGAAGTCGCGGAAATCGTAGTTTACCCTCCTAGGAAAAGCCTCATCCCGGCGAATCATTCGCTAATTCCTACGTGTAAGCGCAAATAAATCTCGAATATCTTAAAAATTTTATGCTCGATGCCGTAATTCTCCGTACCGTAAACCGCAAGAAAGTTTACTTTTACAATCTGTTCGTTATCGTTGTTAACTTGCAACTTTAACTCGCCAATCAGTGGCCGGAGTAGCCGGCCTGGTTTATACGCGAGAAACGCGCGACAATGATATCGCGTCTATATAGGTTTATCCGTGTCGCGTTGTTTTCGCACTCCTCGTGCGGAACGCTGTCCAACCCCCTCGTGGGTTTTTGCTCGCGAACGGCCGTCTGCGGAACGGCGTCGCGGAGAAAAATCCTCTCGGTGCTCTCTCGTTCGGTGGAATAATTCCAGGATTCCAACACATTCCTCGGTTCACAGTCGACTAACTTTATGAAAGCAATCGGTGAGCTAAGCCAGCACAGCGTTCTGGCAGCGGAGCGACAGAGTCTCAAAACCGTTAACCCAAGTCGCGCTATCCTTTCGTTCGGGAAGAACAAAGAGGGCGGAGGGGGGGGAGGAGAGAGAGAGAGAGAGAGAGAGAGAGAGAGAGAG